TATGTTTATATGTATTATATACTGAATTCTTACAATAAAATAAGCTAGAATAGCCAGGCACAGTAGGTCATGCCTGTAACCCCAGTGACTCAGGAAGCTGAGGTGGGAGATTACTTGAGCCCAGGAGTTCAAGACTGCAGTGAGCTACGATCACATCACTGCACTCCAGCCTGCGGGGAGCAAGACCCCTTCTCCAAAAAAAGAAAAAAGTAAGCTAGAGAAAAGAAAACGCTATTAAGGAAATCATGGCTGGGCGCGGTGGCTCACACCTGTAATCCCAGCACTCTGGGGAGGCTGAGGCGGGCAGATCACGAGGTCAGAAGTTCAAGACCAGCCTGGCCAACATGGTGAAACCCTGTCTCTACTAAAAACACAAAAATTAGCTGGGTGTGGTGGTACACACCTGTAATCCCAGCTACCCATGAGGCCGAGCAGGAGAATCGCTTGTACCCGGGAGGCGGAGGCTGCAGTGAGCCGAGATCACGCCACTGCACTCCAGCCTGGGTGACAGAGCAAGACTCTGTCCATCTCGGGGAAAAAAACAGAAAATCATAAGGAAGAACAAGATCATGTCATTTGTGGGGACATGGTTGAAATGAAGCTGGAAGCCGCTATCTATCCTCAGCAAACTAATGCAGAAACAGAAAACCAAACACTGAATGTTCTCACTTATAAGCGGGAGCTGAATGATAAGAACACATGGGCACATGGGCAAACAACACACATGGGGCCTCTCAGTGGAGCAGCGGGAAGGAGAACATCAGGAAGAATAGCTAATGGGTGCTGGGCTTAATACCTAGGTGATTGGTTGATCTGTGCAGCAAACCACCATGGCACATATTTACCTTTGTAACAAACCTGCACATTCTGTACATGTACCCCAGAACTTAAAAGTTGAAGAAAAAAAATCATAAAGAAGAGAAAACATATTTACTTTTCACTAAATGGAAGTGGACCATCATAAAGGTCCTCTCCTTGTCCTCTTCATGTTGAGTAGGCTGAGAAGGTGGAGGAAGAAGAAGGACTGGTCTTACTGTCTCAGGGGTGGCAGGCATGGAAGAAAATCTGTTTATAAGTGGATTCTCGCAGTTCAAACTCATGTTGTTCAAGTGTCAACGGTATCATTACATGTATTGAATAAAGAACCTAATTAAAAGAAAAGGAAGGAAAATTAATATGTACTGAGCAACTACTATGTGCCAGGAAGACACTGTGAAACTCAAAAAAGTCAGACTCCAAACACTTTGTGCTTGTATACAAGGTTTAACTCTTTCCTGGAATATCAACATTTTAGGGGGAGAATTTGTGACCTAAATGAATATAAACTGTAATTTGTGGATTATGTATTTGGAGGTATATATAGATTATGAGATGGGAGGAAGCAGTTCAGGGAAATATCTTCAACCCTTGCCACCTCTTCCCCCACTCCCAGCTGCCCCCAGCGCTGAGAGGGGAAAAGGAATTGTATTTTTCTTGTTCTAAACCATGTCAGAGAGTCACAGATGGAGAAAGCAAAGGCAGCCTCTCCTCCTTTACCATTGTGCCTGGATGTTATCTGAACTGGAAACTGGATTTGCTCCGTTTCTTACCTGAGCATAAAAGGCTGTAGAATGGTTGTTCCAAGCAAGAAGAACATTAGGACTGAGAAGCCCATCACGGCAAAGCCCAGCAGCATGGCCCAGTCCTCCCCAGCACTGGACGGTGGCCTTTAGTGCACATCGAGTGGGTCTCCATCACTCTATAACAAGACTAGAAGCCAAAAGGCAATAATATTATCAATATGCTGAGAAAAAGTAACCACAGAATTCTATATCTATCCAAAAAAAAGTCCTCACAATAAATAAAGACATTTCAGACACACACAAGACTGAGTTTGTCCTCAATAGACCCTCACTAAAAGAAAAGGGTCAAGTTTTATGCTAGGCAGAAAAAAAAAATCAGGTAACAGAACTGATTTAACCAGAAATGAAGAGGAAATGCAGAAGTAAATAAGTAAGTAAAGACATTAACTCTAGGCTGGGTGCAGTGGCTCACACCTGCTATCTCAACACTGTGGGAGACCAAGGCACGCAAATCACCTGAGGTCAGGAGGTCAAGACCAGCCTGCCCAACATGGCAAAACCCATCTCTACTAAAAAATACAAAAATTAGCTGGATGTTGTGGCACACACCTGTAATCCCAGCTACTCCGAAGGCTAAGGCAGGAGAATCGCTTAAACCCGGGAGGCTGAGATTACAGTGAGCTGAGATCATACCACTGCACTCCTGCCTGGGCAACAGAGCAAGACTCCGTCTAACAAAAAGAACGATATTAACTCTATAGATGTTAACTCTATAAAATAATAATTATTATCTTATTACTATTATGTCTTGTGGGGTTAAAAGGAAAGATAAATACATGACAAGAGAATATAATTTAGAGGGAGTAACAGTGCTAACTTTTCCAGGGGGAAAGATAAAGACATTAATTTCATGTTGAAAAGTTCAAATATGCATGCTAAATAGAAACATCACCTTTTTCTACTCTTTTAGGTGATACTCCAAAAATTTCAAACTAGTAGAGAGACAAAGAATGGAAAGGGAAAAAAATCCAAAAGAAGGCAATAAAGAAGCAGGAAAAACTCATGAAAATGTCAGGACAAATGGCACAAAATAACCTGATAATGTTACTGTATCATTCTATCAGTAATTACAATAAATCTAAATGGAATAAATGATCCAGTTAAAAGATAGAGGTTAGAGCTGGCTGCGGTGGCTCATGCCTGTAATCCCAACTCTTTGGGAAACCAAGGCGGGAGGAGCCCAGGAGTTTGAGACAAGCCTGGGCAACACAGCAAGACCCTGTCTCTACAAAATAAAAACTAAAACACCATCCAAGTGTGGTAGCACACATCCAGTCCTAGCTACTCAGGAAGCTGAGGCAGGAGGATTGCTTGAGCCCAGGAGTTTGAGGCTGCAGTGAGCTGTGACTGTACCACTGCACTCCAGCTTTGGTGACAGTGTGAGACCCTTCTCTAAAAAAACATGTTTTTCAAATATAAAGATAATCAGACTAGATTTAAATATATATAGATGGTCCCCAACTTAAGATGGTTCCACTTGCAATTCTTTTACTTTACTATGGTGTGAAAGCAATATGCATTCAGTAGAAACTGTACCTCAAATTTTGAATTTGCATTATTTGATTTGCATATGAACCCTACTCTTCAGTAATACATCTCCACTTCTAACCACTGTATTACCTTGTTTTATTCATAATCAAGGCAATATCTACTATCTTCTGTTTTCTTCACTGCAGGTAGGACTGACTTTCCCACCCAGCCAAGTATGATAGCTACAGGCACCTTCTGGCTTAGCCTGAGGCAAACTCACTTACAGACAGCCTGAACACACTCATCTGGCCGTGATCCCCGCAGAAGCAGCAGCCTCTCCCTCCAGCACTGAAACTTGTGCAAGAAGTATTCCTTAGGAAGATGCTGTGGCTCATCAAAACTTCGTAATTCATCTGACATTCATTTCACTGGTGTATGTGAAATGAATTTATAAACATTGAGTACAATATATTAATATTTCCCTGTGATTTGTTTTGGTTACAGAGGAGACGTTGGTTAATTATTTTTACTCTTTTATATTTTAATCATATTATTTAACAACTTATTTTGAAACAGCAAATAAGGTTGAGTAAAGTCAACATAGTTCATCAAGTTCAGCAAGAGGAAACAGCAATAATTCAACTGTGCATTTCAGGAACGAAAATGAGGTACACTAGGCTGCTTTGATGACAACACAACCGCCTTTGTATCTAGTTCATCGTGTGGCGTGTGGGGCACTAAAGCCCGTTTGCTTGCGTGTTTGTTATTTGATCTTTTGCCATACAGTGATTCATTTTAATTGTCCGTTCACAGAAGAATCGGTTCATGTCTAGCAGAGAAGACATGTTTCTTTCCTCTGCAGTCGGCCTGCTCCTTCCTCCCTGAACCCCCACCCTATCCAAACTCCGTATCTCACTCTCGTCCTGCATTCTCTCTCAAACACTCACGAGAGCAGTGAAATGATCTCGGAAGTGAGTAACACGGTGACCATGACCATTTTTAATGTCTTCCAATTCTCGGCTCCCAACTCCACTACAGCCAGTAACAAATCATGCCTGTTTCCCGAGAGCGAGTAACGCTGGCCGTGAGATGCACGCCCCCGGAAGGTTTTCTTATCCCATCTGGTACCCGCGCTGACGCCCCACGCCCCAACCCCGGCGCGCGTAAAAGGGGTGCAGCTCACTCGAGGCCTTCAGCTCTTCTCCGTGGCATTTCCCCCGGGAGAAAACGGGCCCGAAGCTCGTCTCTCGCGTCCCCTCTAGGGAGCAGGCAGGGTAAGGACAAAAGCCAAAATGCTGGAGTTGGGAGACGACGCAGCGTTCCGCGCCGAGGCTCGCAGGGTCTCACTCCCAGTTTCACAGGTAAGGAGGTGAGGCACGCGGCGGTCAGTGACCTGCCCAGTCACACGGGTGAAGACGTGGCGAGCGCGCTTTGACGCCAAGGCTCCCCGCGGGGCCAACGCTGTGTGATTTCCTCACCCCTCATTCAACCAGGAGGAGGCTCCTGAGCGCCAGCCGCGGCTGGGCGAGCTCTCGGGCGGGGGCCACCGGCGAGCGTGAAGGGGCTCCCGTCCCCGGGACCTGGCAACCAAAGGATAGCGCCAGCGAGAAAGGCGGCAGCCCCTGAGGTGAGAAGCCGCGGGCCCGCCAGGCGCCCTCCGAGAGCAAAGGCGACACTCGCTCCCTGAGCGCCTCTTCCCGCGCCCCGAGCGCCTCTTCCTGCGCCTGCGCAGCCAGATTCCCGCCCCCGCCCCCCCCCCCCCCCCCCCAGAGCGCCTCTACCCGCGCCTGCGCAGCCAGATTCCCCCCCCCGCTCCCCCGGCGCGCCCGGCACCCGCTTACCCGCCCTGGCGCCCCCTGTCGCCCTGGGGTGTGATTTGCACGGGGACGACGGCGAAGGGCTGCACGAGGCCCGGCCTGAGGAAACGGCCTCCTTTCGCCTGCGTCAGCCNCCCGCGCCCAGAGCGCCTCTACCCGCGCCCAGAGCGCCTCTACCCGCGCCCAGAGCGCCTCTACCCGCGCCCAGAGCGCCTCTACCCGCGCCCAGAGCGCCTCTACCCGCGCCTGCGCAGCCAGATTCCCGCTCCCGCTCCGGCGGAGCGCCCGGCAGCCGCTTACCCGCCCTGGCGCCTCCTGTCGCCCTGGGGTGTGATTTGCACGGGGACGACGGCGAAGGGCTGCACGAGGCCCGGCCTGAGGAAACGGCCTCCTTTCGCCTGCGTCAGCCCTCGGCGCGCAGAGGGGGCGCTTTGCGGAGGACGCGCAGGCCCCCCGGGTGCCCCCAGCCCCCGGCGCGGCCGCCGCCATCGCCAGCGCGCTCCTTCCCAGCGAGGTGCGAACTCGGGCGGGCCGGCCGCGTGGCCCTGCAGACCCCCGCGAGGCGGCGCGGTCCGCGCAGAGGCCGGGAGGCCCGTGAGGCCGCTGCGGCCGAAGCTGCTGCTGCGTCTTGTACGGGGCTCGCCGCCGCCGTTCCCCTCGTGTCCGCGTCGGGAGCGTAGCCGTGGAGACCTGGCGCGGCGGAAGGTTCTGAGGCCCGAGGGGCCGCTGCAGCCGGCGAGGGACGCGCTTGGCCCCAGGTCTGTGAGAAGAGGAAGAGTTCCGCGTGGCCGCGCCTGCTTTCCCACCGGTCGTCTGTTCGCGTGCAGGCCGAAAGACCGGGTTTTTCTAGCTCATGGCAGGTTCCGATTAAGAGAATTCGCTTTTAAACCACATGTGATTTCCCAATTTTTAAGACACAAAAGACCATAAAATAACTGGCCATAAAAACTATCTCAAATCAAAAAAAACGATATCAAATATTACTTTATCTTTCTCGGATGATCTGAAAGACATCTGGGGATCTTTCCACGCTCCTGGATTCAAGCAATTCTCCTGCCTCAGGCCACCGAGTACTTGGGATTACAGGTGCGCACCATGACTGGATATTTTTTGTATTTTTAGTAGAGACAGGGTTTCACCATGTTGGCCAGGCTGGTCTCGAACTCCTGACTTCAAGTGATCTGCCCACCTTGGCCTCCCAAAGTGCTGGGGTTACAGGTGTAAGCCACCATACCCAGTCCAAAATATTTTTTTAGTGAACAGATGCAATTTCGAATTTTAAAAAGTGATAATAACTAGAATTTTTTCCTTCTGCCTCCTTCTTCCAACTTAAACCTTGTATATATGAGATAGCTTTTACTTTTCAGACTTAGATGTGTTAATAATTTCCCCTGCAACTTGGTAAACTCTGAAGAAGTGCGTGATTTGATGCTACTTTTACGTATTTGATTCAACCTCAGAAATATGGTCATTTTTGAGTCCATGAGACTCTTGTCACACAGAACTTGCACCTGCCTTTACCGGAGCCCCCTGGTCATTCCTATTGTATGATTCTGGTTCCATTTAAAAGAAAATACTCAGCCAGGCGTGGTGGCTCATGCCTGTAATCCCAGCACTTTGGGAGACGGAGGCGGGCAGATAACGAGATCAGGAGCCATGTTAACATCCTAGCTAACATGGTGAAACTCCATCTCTACTAAAAATAAAAAAATTAGCTGGGCGTGGTGGCACATGCCTTTAGTCCCAGCTACTCTGAGGCTGAGGCAGGAGAATCGCTTGAACCCGGGAGGTGGAGGTTTCAGTGATCCGAGATCACCCCACTGCACTCCAGCCTGGGTGAAAAGTGAGACTCCATCTCAAAAAAAGAAAAAGAAAGAAAAGATAAGAAAATTCTCATGGGCAATAAGTGAGAAGGAGCAACATGGCTTTTTCCCTTTGAATTTTTCTAATGCCCCTTCACCTGGTAACCAACTGGCTTCTCTGTCCACCAAATACCACACTCACTCCACTCTTGGCCTGAAAGCCAAGCCTCCTACACACACGTACTCCATTCTGGACTCACAGCCTGTCACTCAAGAAGAACCTAAACTGGTCGGTGTGAGTTGCGATCCCAAAGTGTCTGTTCAGAAACACGGCAATGTGACCCACTTGGAACGCATTGATGAGAGATGCAGGCACTGTACCTCTGGTGTCCCAGACCCTCCTTCAGCTGACTCCTTCCTCTGAGCCACTGAGGATCACTTCCTGCTCCATAAAGCAGCAACCGTGAATTAAATGTCAAGTTCACAACGTGGGCCCCTCCCAATCTGACCCAGAGGCTTTGACACTGAGTTCAAATTCTAGCTCTGTGACTTCGAGAAACCCTTTAAAAACTTCCTGCCCTGCTTTTCCTCAGTAAAAAGGGAGTAAATAAAACTCAGTGTGAGTTGCAGGAGCATGGAAAAACTTCGTATCTATAAACTGTTGTGAGGTCGATCTATAAAAGAGGCTATTACTGCAAAATGCTGGCATCATGGATTCCAGGTTCCAGAATCCACAGTCATTTCTTTTGCATTCAGTAGATGCTTTACTCAAGAGGGAAAAAAAAGAACCCGCTCTGCCTTTCACCATAGTGGAGAAACTACTTCCTCATTCTTTTTCCATTCTCTCAGTTAAATATACAGTAACTATTATGGCAGAGAATTCTTTCCTAGCTGAAATTCTACCTGTTCATGAAAACTATGTGTTTTCAAATTCAGAGATGCACAAATCATTGACAGCAACCTCAAATTTATACCACAGTCTATGTTCTTTGTGTGACTGTTATGTATATTTGTGCGTAGGAGAATAAATAAACCCCTAATTGGACAGTCATTCCAATATGGGAATTTTTTGCTGACGCAAGCAAGAATTCAGAGTGTCAAAATTAAGCCACATCTGATCTTATATTCTCTTTGCAGGAAAACAAACAACAAGAAAATACGATTTGTGCCACAAACTTCTGGAGGCTTCAGTGGGATCTTTCCTTTCCTTTATGCTGATTGTTGTCTCCAGCCATCCTGCTAATCAGATGAGTGCTCGAGTGCCTGAACTAGGCTCACGTCAGAGAAACCAGCGTCGCCTCTGTGCAGCGGCTGCTTCTGCTTATCTCCAGTGATAATACTCATGGCTACTATTAACTGAGCACCTGAGATGAGCAAGGTACAGTTCGAAGTCTATACATATGTTAATTCACTTTTTGGACTTTTTCAAGATCAGAGAGCTGCACTGACTCACACAAGCTCACAAGAGCCAGAGAACTGGGTCTATCCTGCCATACAAACAACCCGATGGATGGTGAGGCAGAAACTAACCGCTGAAAATCTTCAACAGTTCAACAGCCCTTGATATATAGTCGTGTTTGAAATCCACTGTGACCGAGTCCTTACCAGGTGGCACTTGGTTTCATATTTTAAGTGGAGGTAATTGTTCGACTACATGACTGGTTCTTGAACTCAAGTGTGATCCTCTGTTAAATACAGATGCCCAGGTCCCATCTCAGGAGATTCTGATAAAACAATTAGGGTGAAGGACCCAAGAACTTGCATTTTAAAAAGCCCTTTCTAGGATCTTAACACAGGTGGCCCTGTATTTATACTTTGGGAGCTATCAGGTCACATGATGCATTAAATAGGCCTTGGAGGCCTGGGCTTAGGAACCTAAGCACCATTTGTGGTCTCAAGTCATGCTGCCTCCTTGGAACTCAGCTTATTTCTCTGTGCAGTATGGGAGTTGGAGCAGATGATTTAATGTGCCTTTAAGATCTGCCTTTAACCCAGGCATCGTGGCTCACGCCTATAATCCCAGCACTTTGGGAGGTCGAGACAGGTGGATCACCTGAGGTCAGTAGTTTGAGACCAGTCTTACCAACATAGTGAAACCCCATCTCTACTAAAACTGCAAAATTACCTGGGAATGGCATGTAATCCCAGATACTTGGGATGCTCAGGCAGGAGAATCACTTGAACCCGGGAGCAAAATTACCTGGGAATGGCATGTAATCCCAGATACTTGGGAGGCTCAGGCAGGAGAATCACTTGAACCCGGGAGGCAGAGGTTGCAGTGAGCTGAGATCAGATCATGCCATTGCACTCCAGCCTAGGCAACAAGAGTGAAACTCCATTTCAAAAACAAAACAAAACAAAACAAAAGATCTCAATCTCCCTTTAAGATCCAACAAAGTATATGAAACCATAAGTTTGTTTGTAGGAAGCAGGTATCTTCTTTCCTGGAGTGACAATAATGCAAGGATTCCCCCATCAGCCGCTGACAGGCAGCGCTCACCTAGAAAGAGAAGAGAATCCAGCCACTGTGTGCTCAACCCAACTTTTCCTAGAACATAATGGTCACTTGGGTACCCTGAACAATCATGGTGTCGCACTCAGTGCTACGGGAACGTAATTTCCTTCAGACACAGAACTTGAGGAGGTAGGAACTTTTTGGTCATTCAGCAGATGAGGACACAGAAGACCAGAGTGTCTGAGGAATTGTGCAAAAATCACAAAGTAATGAGAGCTAGGTCCAGGGCTCCAAAACAGACCAAATTCGAAAGCCCATGCTTTTGCTGACAATAATATTCTGCCTCCTCACTCAGTGGCTGGAGGTTATTCTTGTAAGTGTCTATTCTCAAGGCTTGAAGGAGTCTTAGCCCTTTGTCCCAGGAATGTTGCTGGCCAAATTGTTACACAGACAGAATGTTCATAGCTTTTTATAAGTCTGCATGTCTTGATCACTTTTAGATAAATTCTGTTCCAGATTTGATGAAGCCGCCATTTTGGCAAGTGATACCTGGTCATGAATTTTGATGCATT